CCTTGAATGTGCATTTTTAGTGAATGCATATGGACTTCAAGAATATGCAATTGGTCTTCACATAGATGCAAGTTTTTTCAATGAAATGCAATACTTTTTGAAGAACAAGAAAGTTCCATACATATGCAAAAGGTCTCCTTGTGATCATGTGCAAAAACTCTTCCATATATGCATGCAATTAGTCCACATATGCAATGGATTTTTCTTGAATGTGCATTTTCTTAAAAACTGGTATCACATTTTAGTTTTCAGGACATGCATCCTTGTTTTCATAAAAAATAAGCATATAGAGCCTTAGGATATAATCATTTCAAGATATGTATTCCTTTTTTCATAAAAAATAAGTATACAAAGCCCCTAATACAATCATTTTTCATGATATGTATTCTTGTTTTCATAAAAAAAAGGATATAAAACCTAAGGACATCTATTTATTCGAATATACTTATATCGTCATCATAAAAAACACAACACCTCTTCAAAAATAGAGATTGAGGGTGTTGAGCAATGCACCTTAGATTTGAAGTTGCATAAACTCAAATGCCACCACCATCGATATCGCTTAGGTATCGCCTAAATACTCCTCAAGTGGCTGACAAGTTAACAAGCCACCAGTACTACTAGTTCTTCATCTTCTTTGTTCGTCCTATGCAAGTTCCATCGCCATCAAAAATTTTATTGGTCAAATATTTTTTCTTATTTTAAATCTCATTTACTAAAGGCATTTTGCTCTTTTAACATCATTACAATATTGCCATCAAAGGACCTTACTTTTCAAAACTTTCCAACACCCTTTTAGCAATTAATTTGATGGTGAAGTCGTTATGGATAATTTTCCCTACTAATGAAGGCATTAATCAAAACAATAATAATGCTATCTACTTTTCGTAAGGTGACCTACTTTTGAAATGGAAAATCATAATCAATGACTCATAAAGATAATTAATTACATTGCAGGACCAGATGATTTTGATATTAATCTTCAAGACCAAAGGACCTAAGTGTAATTAAAAATTATTGTGAAAGACAAAACTACCCCTGATGTGTTTTTGTTGTGGCAGGGAGAATTGATTATTGTTAAAATAAAAATGATAATTGTTTTTCTCGAATGAAGAGTTGTTCACTAGATTATAACCAATTCCTCTATCAAATTAATATTTTGTAGTTGTTTATAAAGGAGTTGATTGCTGTTAGAATGAAAATGAGGTTTGTTGTTTCTTGAATGAAGATTTATTCATCAAATCACAACACTTGTTTCACTCTGCCACTAAGTTAATTTTTTGAAGTTGTTAATAAGGGAATTAGTTATTATTAGATTGGAAATGGGACTTGTTTTTTTCTCAAATGAAAACTTTTTATCAAATCACAACACTTATTTCTCTCTACCACCAAATTAATTTTTTAGAGTTGTTAATAAGGGAATTGATTTTTGTTAAAATATAAATGAGACTTGTTTTTTCTGAAGGGAAGTTGTTAAAAGAGTGTATAATATACACATGAAGGGTATTCTTATCTTTTCAGAATAAAAGTAGGTACTTTTATTATATATAGTAATATCAAAATCCTTTGATCCTTCAATGTAATTAATTGTCTCCAAGAATCCTTGATTGTGATTTTCCCTTTTTAAATTAACCTTGTTGTTTTTTTGGGTCAATCTATTTAGCCCTGTTTAGTAGAAAATGTCATACACGTTGGCCAATAGCTAGAAACGGAGTATGTTGATTATTTATTGTTAATTAATATCCCAACCTTGCTCTCAATTTATGATACAAAGATGTTGTGTACTAGAATTCTTTTAAGTTACTCCCTCCAATTTAAATTATAAGATATTTTTTCAACTAAACTTGATACAAAATATAAGATACGTGGTACTTTTTAAAATTATTTTTTTAAATTTACTCTTGTATTAATTAATGTGGGTGCGAGAGATATAATAAACATTTTTTCTTGCCTTCATAATGAATGCGTTAAGGGAAAGGGGGGAAAACATGTATTGTTTATGGAAGTAAGGAATTAATAACTTTTATTAATATATATAAATATAATTAAAGGTGTTTTATAATTTAAATAGAAAGAAGTATAAAAGGAGTGTGTAAATAATTACGAGAACGTAAATAATTACAAGTATTGCAATAGAAATTGTAGACACAGCACTAGTTTTTATCTCAAAGTTATCTTTACCTTCTTTCGTTTTTGACGTATTGGATGGGGCCAAGGCTGCGGAACAACTATGAACGCCAAAAATAACACTATCAATTCACATCATAGTTGAATTAGTTTAAGTTTAATAAAAAAACTAATTCTTTATAATGTAATGAATTAAAATTTAAAATATTGTGGAGGGACTCACATTTAATACCTAGCTATGCACAATTAAAAAAAAGTTATTTTAAAACTTAATAAATTTTTACACCATAAAGGTCAATCAAAAAAAAATCAAAAATATTGTAAAATTCCTTAAAAACAAGCCAATTAACACATTTATTAGCCCTTACGTAAGCATGGTGAAAAATGATGATCCAGTTTTGCATAACAAGAGCACTTATCTTCATGATATTATTGTAAAGGAAAGATTTTGGGCTACCCCTAAAACAATATACATTAATTTCTCTTTTCTTATAATTGAGCTATGTGTTTTTAATTTTGATAAAACAGTTAAAAGTTACTTATACTCTTATGTCATATGGAGGGAGTAATTTATCTTTACAATACTACTCCCCTTATCTCAGTTTATAAGATAATTTTAGATAAAATTGTGAATATCAGTTAATTTTATTAAATATACTTTACAAGATTTTTTTAAATAAAAATATAAATTTTTGTTTAAAAAATCATTCATTTAATATAATCTTATTGATGAAATGTTAAATAGATTAAAAATATAACAAGAGAAAAGGATAATATCAGAAGAAGTATAATTAATAAAATTTTATTTTTACTAAAATATTTTATTTGCAGCACCAAATCACCATAAAAAATATTTTATCAGCGTTTATGAAAAATAAAAATTGTTGTGGGTGAGAGGCCAACATGCATGATATTATTTTTTTAAAAAAAATTAATTTTTTAATCCTCCAACTTTCAAGTCACTTGTAATTCAGTCCCTCAACTACAACTTGCATATGACTCAATCTCTCAACTTTGAATCACTTACAAATTAGTCCTTTAATCTTGTTAATTTTTTTTTCATATTAGCTTATATCTCACATTAATGAATAAGAAGAGGGTATTTTAAAATAATATATGAGTGTTTTTTATCCCTCTTATTTGATAAAAAAATTTTAAAAAAATAAAAAAATAAAGATTGAGTTATAGGTAAATTAAAAGTTGAAAGATTGAGTTGCAATGAGTTATAATTGAGAGATTAAGTCATAATGAATCATAATTAAACGATTGGGTGAGAAGTGAGTTAAAAATTAAAAAATTAAAAAATTAATTTTTTTTATTGATTGAAATGCATGATATACTTTACTGCGCTGTTTGATGTGGACATCTTTTGAACTCATCAAATGCTTCTCAATAGTTAGTTGCTTTTTCACATTGAATAGTGAGTGGGACTAGTGGGCATGCTACTAGGAATGTTGCTTCTCGTGTTTCTCACCTTAAATTTTGTTGGTCTTCAATAAAGTAAATGCAATAAAAAATGACCATAATAAACATCAATTTTCTCAACAATCCATGATACAATACAGAGATTAAATGGTTATTTCTCATGCAAAACCAAAACTTATAAAGAATACTTTCTTCATTTAAAAATATAAAATATTTTTTAATTAAATTTTATTCTTTAATAAAGTAGTTATTTTCTTTTCAACTAATTCTATCTTTTCATATTTACTCCTATTAAATACTCTATAATAAATATAAAGTCATTATCAATAGGGATACTTTTGAAAAAAAATAATTACACTTCAAAAGACTAAAATATATTATTATTTTGAACATCCACTCCTCAAAAATATTTTATATTTTTTAACAGAGGGAGTATAATTATGCACTTATTAGAGGAGCAAATGCAAACTTATCATCTTTTAATTTTATTATCTTATAATGTTTTTTATGTTAAAAAAAAACATTTTAGTACTTTTGGTAAATTCTAACCTCAAATACTTTTATCTAACTATTATCTAATAAATCCGTTAGCACACATACACAGGTATTTATAAATCATTCTATAAATTGATTGTCTTGTTCATTTTATTTTGATTATCTAATAATTCATATTATCTAAAAACACACATTTTTATATCAAATAATATGAATTCATATTTCGCATGTATATTGTGATTAATCAAAGTATATTATATTATAACCGTCCTGAATCTAAATTGATATTGAATGAAATGAAATGGAATAAAATTAAAGTTCAAAGATAAAAAATAAATCAATAAAGAATATGAATGACAGCAATTGTTATTGATTTAGGATAC